GACATTCACCACCGCCTATGTCTATTCCCATTCCGGATACTTGTTTTCTCCACTGCTCTAGCGATGATTGAATATATATTTTAAACAGGGTCGGAGACAGACAACATCCTTGTTTAAGCCCCTTGGTTATTGGAAATGCTTCAGATATAAAGTTTCCTTCTTTAACGACACTTCTTGCATTTTTGTATATATTTGCAATAGCATCCACATACTCTCTACTGAGACCTACTTTCGTCAATGTATAAAATAGTTTTTTCAAAGGTACCGTATCATATGCCTTCTCTAAATCTACAAACAATAGGTGGGTAGATAGATTCCTTGCCTTCCGTTTTTCGATTACCTGCTGCAGAACGAATATATTATCAATGCACGATCTTCCTGCCCGAAATCCATTTTGTTCCTCTATGTCTTCATATTCTGATTCAATTCGTTTTTTTATTATTCGACCATACAACCTGCCAACTTAATTAAAAATAATGTAAAATTAAATTTTTAATAATAAAAAATAGTGTAAAATTAAAAACAAATAAAAAAAAAATAAAAAAACTAAAAACAAAAAAAGTATAAAACAAAATAAAGATAATAAAACAAAACAAGCAAAAAATGTACTGTATAAAACGAAATTTAAAAATAGAATTAAAAAATATATGTAAGGAAATTAATCAATAAAACAAACAAAAATAACAAAAAATAGAAAATAGAAAAAGGAAAAAAGTTCAATTACATTTTTTGATTTACATTCACTACTAACTCGACCTCTGATTGTCGATCTATGAATACAAGTTACAAATTAATTTGGCCAGTGGGCTATACCAAGGTCATAAAAAATCTCTAGCATAATCTTTGTCTAGGCCACAACACACAGCCCTGTCGTACTCTTCTATTAATAGGTATTTGTTTTGACAGGTGGTTATTAATTTCGATCTTTGATATCAATAAACTATTATCATTTTTTCATAAAACCAGCTGTAATATACGGCAGTGAATGTTGGATAATTAAAAAAACAAAATTGAAAGAAGAATAACGAGTGTATGTGGAGAAAATAAATATTCGTAATTATTCATAAAAGTAACGATTTATTTTGATCGTATCTAATGTTCCAGCACGCTACCGTTTTCAAACTGTATTGATAATTTATTGATTTCACTGAGCCGTGTTGCCAATATAATTAGAAAAAATAATACGTTTTACTTTAGCAATTGATTCCAATTAGTTGAAAATCGAACGGTTATTTTAATTTTGTTAGACTTCGATTACTTTTAATTTGATCGCTATTTAGATCGACCCATTTATATTTTACCATTAGTTGGTTATACCTGTGCAAATAATGTGTCGTCTAATAAGTGTTTAGATTAGTTTAAGTGAATGTTTAAAAGTGTTAATTGTTTAGTCGTGAACACAAAATACCAATACCAAATTTTTTAAATTTGAAAAATAATAGAAAATTTGAAAATGACAAGTAATAACATCTATGTATTTGAGAAATAATAATAAAATTACCGACATTCCATTGTGTGCGAGTTGGAAGACCAATTTACAGAGAATTTGTAAAATTCGAATTTCAAATATGCCCAACAATATCCAAATACACACATAGCCATATGCTCTAATTCACTTTCCTCTATACACTCCATTAATGCTATACCCACCAACCATCCCATATCGGTTTTGGTGGTAACGAAAAAGCTGATTGCCTTGCCAAAAAAGCCGCATCATACACGGACACCATTATCAATACAAAAATTTGGAACGATCTCAAAGCTAGACTGATGAAGCTTAATCTATCCACCTGGCAGTTTCACTGGAATAAAGTTACTTCAGCGCTGCATGAAATTAAACCGTCAGTGAACCTACTTACATATCCCAGTTTACCTTAAAAAGATAAGGCAATCGTAAGGAGATTGCGTATAGGACATACCCGTCTAATTCATAGCTACCTGATGACATCATCTCCACAACCCAAATGTCAGCACTGCAATACGACTCGTTGAATCAGACATATACTTATCGAATGACCTTTTTATGGCAAAATACGCCAACAGCTCGATATCAGTACTATCTTCAAAGAGGTCCATAACAGCACAGACCAAATCAACAAAGTTATCAAATTCCTCGAGAAAAGTGAGCTGCTCAACAAAATATACATGTTATGTTACATTTTTTTATTATTTTCTCTTTATGTGAAATGTTAACTACATGATTTTGTAATTTATATGATATTACCATGTAAGTCGTAACTCGTGCTAATGACCATAAATGTCACATGCACGTTAATTTAAATAAAAAAAAACAAAAAAAAACTAAAAAAAGTTCGAACCTGTGACGATAATATACTCTTATGCCGGGTCCAGACCAAGCAGACAAAACAAAAACATTCATGTTTCGCGACAAAGTGGCGACAAATCGAAAACATTTGATGAGACATTTCTGAAACAATTTTGTTTTGTTTGCAGATTTGAAAACTTTTTCAGGTCCCGTCTCAGGTCGGTAAAGATCAAAGGGTCTGTGTTTTGTCTGTGTTTTTGACGACAGTTGTCGACGCAGTGTGGACGCGTGTGCGTGCCAAAACGAGTTAAGCAGTAGGAAAATAGAATGTACAATTTTTATCAAAATCAAGTGTATTTTTCTGTTGTGTAGTGAATAAATAAATACTAGTGTATTTTTCTAAACATGTCGGGGGACAAAAAGTGGAATACACAAAATACATGCAAGTTAATAGAAATTTACAGGGAGCATTCGATATTATGGGACCCTAAAAATAAAGATTATAAAAATCGCTACAAGAAAGCCGATGCATTAAAGGAAATTTCTTTATCGCTAAATGTGCCACTAAATGGTGTTAAAAAAAAATAAAGAATGTTAACAACCAGTATGCTAGAGAAAGACGAAACTACAAGAAACTTAAAAAATCTGGGGCTGGGAAACTTTTCAGTTCAAAATGGTTTGGTTATGGTAGGAATCACCTGTTGCTAAAAATCTTAAAGTGATTGCTAAACGTTCTGTTACACTTATAGCATTTCTAAAGTTAGTACCTATGTCTTTTTGCAACTGCAGGACCAACAAGGCATATTAGATTCTCAAAATCTTCGGTGGACATTCTTAAAAAAATTTTGAAGCTTGATCGAATTTCACCACTTAGTCCAATATCATCTGCGCGCAGCTGAACTAACAATTTGTCTATCGAACAACTTTCTCGCATTTTTAGGCTTGGTCTAATCCAAAAACGTTTGGGTTTTCGTTTAGCAACCTGGGATGATGATGAGAGCAAAAAAAAACAACTTGCGGCTAGCAATAAATCTTCAGTTTCATTTTTTTCTTTATTAAAACGCCACATGGTTAACCAACACTAATCACAACAACAACGTCACCAACTGAATTTTGTTTTTATATTTTGTTGTTCTGGTGTGGACAGTTTGTCTCAATTTTGTTTTGTCTTTTGACGACAAATTTTGTCGCCGATTTATCGTGTTTTTGTTTCAGAATTGTGTTTTCGTTTTGTCTGCTTGGTCTGGGCCCGGCATTATCGTCTAAAGTGCGCCTATATATTTAACAAGGCATGTTTTTATATTTTGATTGGCTGTATAAAAGACCAGCAGAAATCCATTCGAGACATTCTTACTGTGTTGGACAAAGAATACTTACCTTCCTAGTACCTACCCGAACAAGTGTGTTAAAGTGTTTCATTCCGTTGATTTGGTGAGTTGAACAAAATTGATAATTCCCCGTCCTATAGGCGACTGCGTGGGTTGAATGTAGTCACCGAGCTTCTTTTACCGTCTGATGTATTGAATCGGACATGTCCTTCTGAAGACTTTCATTTCGAGCTGCACAATATCGGCACACTATCCTTCTTAGGTCTACGAAAGCCAAATATGTATATATTACAGTATCCAACTTATAAATACATTTTGGAGACGTCTGTCGCCGTATTTACAGTCTACTCCGCCAATCCGCTCAATAGGTGTTCAAACCATTTTAAACCTCTTCTTTCTATTCTGTCAATGACCGTTTCTATAGCATTCATGTTCTTTCTTATAGATTCGTTGGTCTTTCTTTTCAGCCTTGATGTTCTAACACTTCTTCTTAAATAATCCATTTCAACTGCCAACAATCTTTTCTTTAGGTCTGCATTAACTGTGCATACTTCAGAGCCATAACAAAGAACTTATTCTACCATGGTTTTCCCTATTCTTTTTTGTTCCTTTTGGAAATGTTGCGATACCACCATAAGGAGTTTAGACATTCTACAATTTTACGTCCGTGAATAATTCGGTGTTTAATTTAGGTTTCTTCCAAGCCGTTGTTATCAATGAGTGCACCTAAATATTTTAATTTATAATTTTTATCAATATTTTTTGAACCTTGCATCTGAATTGGTAATTAAATATTCTGTTTTCTTCATGCTGACTTGAAACCTCCATTTTACATATTCTCTGGGTGACATACTGCATCCTTGTCTTAGTCCTTTAGTTACTCTTATTGGCTCTGATAGTCTATTTCTGATTTTTAAGTAAGTAGTGTTATCTCTGTATACTTCTGTGATTATTCCTAGAATTTATATGAATTTGAAATAACGGAATAAATTTCATATTTTGTCTGTTTAGATCAAAATAAATGTCCAAACGAATTCTATCTCCGACCGTTATTTACTACCTGAGACTTCAGAAGCCAGAAGGTTACACGAACTTTTTGTATTGAAAATCACTAGAAAGAAAAAATAGTATGACGAAGAAGAGAAACTGGAAAAAACTAATAGGTATAGATATTGGAGAGAACAATTGAAATTAAAACATATGGGAAAAAAGACGATATGGTTATATTAACAATAAATGGATTAATAATTTTTGAATCAAGATATACCAACGCATTTTTCCAACAACATGGCAGCAATAAATACAAATGCTAAAAGATCTGTATATATAATTATAGCTAATAATGGGTACCAACTTTAATGAGATTGTTTAATCATATCTCATAATAGAAAAAATATGAAACTTACTTGGATAAGTGCTTCGGGTTGCAATGGGGACTGAAACCTGTCTGCTGCTTCGCTGAGGAGCTCAAGTTCATGCTCCAACTGCCTGCATGAAGCATTAGCTGAGACGTAGGCAGAAGCTAGCAAGAATCCTCCCAGAATTACAGAACATACTACGACGGTTACTGCTATAATCTTGGATATTTGGACTGAAGTACTACGGATTTTCATATACGCCTGAAAAGAAAAATAAAACGTTAGCATATTTTAAATAGATAGTCATAAGGGAAGTCCTACTTATGTACATATAAGCATTTTTCTATTTGTTTAGTATCGTTAATAAACTTGCACATTTAGACAAACTTTTTTTGCCTCATCAAGACGGGTGGTAAATGCAGCACTGAGGTGAAACCTGTCTAGTACTGGTGGTAGTTAATCTAGGGTCCTGCAAAGGAGAGTGAAAATAGAAGAAGAGAAGACTTAAAGAAAGTAATGGTTCTTTTCAAAATTTATTTATGAATTTAGTGTCCCTTATTTACGTACTGACTTTTTATGAACAAGAAAGTAACTATGTCATTCCTCCCTCTGGACAAGTATCATTATGCAATGGGATTATCGTGCAGAGGTCAGCAATTGGGCTAGGAAAGGAAGTTTGTTTTAGAGTGTCTGGCGAATAAATTTCTGAAAGATAAGCATGGAGTTTTGGGGATATTATTGGCTCAGATATTTTGGATTATTTTGGATTATTTCTAGGACGTAACTGCTGCTCAGAAAATAAAACCTCCCAAGAATTAATATTGGAAAAAAGGTCTTCTACTCTTTATCCGTCACAAGTTGTAACTATTTATTATGACAAAGATTGGGAGACCGGTTTCGCTGTCACAGCGAAATCTGATGTATATGTTGCATAGTTCCTTAAGGATATTCGATAGTAGAGGTATTTGGCTAGAGGAAAAGGATCGTTGTTTGATTTACTTTACGCAGAGTGCTCCGTTTCTAATATATCAGCTTTTGTGTACAGTCCTGACTGAGTAGACCTTAAATGTTTAATGTACACTCAATCAGAGTTCGCATGTATGTTTTGTAGTAACAGTGTTTTTTCATTTACCAGTTTTCCACATAACGTGCTGACTCTTTATCTTACCGTGTTAAAGGTTGCCCTCAGATCATAACCCCAGTATAGTATTCTGCTGAACGTTACTCTCATTTATTGGATTAGAATAATCTAGCCATCGCTAGAAATGGCTAATATAAAATAGTGTTGCCTACGCGATGGTTTTTCAATATAGATCTGGTGAACTTTGGGGGATTATAAAATTGACTTGTGTACGCTTGAACTTGTGGAAATAAAATGGAAACGAGACAAAAAGAGTACCTCCTTTTACAGGCAGCAATTGTATTTATCATTTTGACAGCAAATTTTTCTCATATATATATAATATTAACGATAACAGCACATTAAATCATTTAGAAATCGTCCTTTTGAAATTTTTAAGTTTCAAAATTTCATGGTTGGATTTACGTCAACCTTCATCAAGCTGGTATATGTGCATTTCCAAAGGAAGTAGTTCTTGTAAAACTAAACCCGTATTTCCGCACACGAGTTCAGAGCACGAGCACGCGTCCATGGGGCATACAAGTGCCTTAGAGGTCTGATTATATTGTAAAGTTGAACCTATCTCTAAAGTTGACTACAATTTATTAAAAAATTGCTTTGCTAGCCTGACTTAACAAAGATAATTTGCATTTGGTCCATTGCTTATTATTGCCTTCATATCGTTTATAATAGTAATTTGTTATGTAAATACGATGTATTTATCCATTTTACCTAATTTAATTCCATTATTGTTTAAATATTATATGGTAATACTATTATTAATCTGTATTTGTGGTACTGCATGATATTTTAGAACCAATTTTGTTTAAACGTAATTTAATTCAATAATATTATTATAAAACTTCCTTTGATATTATGTTTAAAAAACGTAATTTTGTAATCAAAATTTATTTTTTTTTGGTGTTGGGTGGATTGAGTAGCTTAGCGTTCATCTTAACGGTTCCAAGGACACGTAAAGGACTACGGATCTCATGTGAAACCAGTTCCAGCTAAAAAACAAGTATTTAGGAATTGTAAACACACGAAAAAAAGAACAACCGTTGATTAATGGGTGCAAAATAAATCATTTTATAGGTGGACAAATGCATCAGGGAGATATAGACATTTTGCCAAATTTACAGTAGATCTAGTAAATCAGAGATTAACGAATATTATAGAGCCGGTATTCCCAAACTACAGGGTGTTAGGACATGTCGGGGGCGACAAGTTGAACATTAAATTAAATTTATGTAAGTCTATTTAAAATTCTAAATTAACCATGATGTTTAGAAACTTAAAACAAACCACTGTAATATCTGACTTCACTACATAAACTTGAAATCGAAAATTTGAGCCGTTCAATGTGGCAACAGCGCGCATTTGACAACCGAGCGTTTTCAAGCTCTGCTAACCAATTGTGACATTTGTGACTCAGTGTTTGAGATACCTCGGCCTAGCCTGAATGTGTTCTTGCATTATAAGAGAGTACGGGTTGTGTTAGTTAGAATCTGGGAAACTTATGTGGAACAACTCTTTAATGATGACCGTCCTAGTGGGTATACACTGAGCAATGATGATACTGGTCCTTCTATTCTAAAATTAGAAGTGGAGAATGCTATAAAGGGTCTTAAAAATAACAAAAGATCAGGCAACGATAACGTATACGGGGAACTATTGAAAATGCTGTACGAAACAAACAGTCAATGTCTAGAGTCACTCGTCAGACTCTTTAACAATATTTGTAACAGCGGAGAGTTTCCTGAAGACTGGCTAGAGTCAACTTTTGTTGCCATACCGAAAAAACCAAAAGAAAAGTCTTGTGATCAACATCGGATGATAAGTCTAATTAACCACATTTCGAAGGCATACACCAAGGTTATTTACAACAGAATAAGCAAAAAACGTGAGGATAACATTGGAGATTTGCAGTTTGGGTTTCGGAATTCTCTTGGGACAAGAGAAGCACTTTTTAGTCTACAGGTACTCATCCAGCGCTGCAGAGATATGAACTAAGACGTGTACATATGCTTTATAGACTAGGCAAAAGCATTCGATAACGTAAAGCACGAAAAGATAGTTGAAGTTCTCTATAAGATCGGAGTCGACTACAGAGACATTCGAACAATAGCGAGTCTCTATTGGGGTTAAACAGCTAAAGTGAAAGTAGGATCTACATTGACCAATAAAATTGAGATCAAGAAAGGGGTACGACAGGGCTGTATCTTGTCTCCTATTGTCTTTAATATATACTCAGAAGAAATATTTAAGACAGCGCTGAAGGAAAAGGTATGCTGATGACACTGTGATTCTAGCAAGTAGCATGGAGGAACTGAGTTGCCTAATGAGTAAGATACAAAAAACAAGTGCACAATACGGACTCAGACTAAATATCACAAAAACCAAATGGATGTTAGTAAGCAAAACCCAACAACCACCACAGCAACTGAAATAAGACAATGAAAGAATTGAACACGTGGATTCGTACATCTACTTGGGAACAACAGGTAACTCAAATTGGAATCAAGCGAAGGAAATACGTATAAGAGTAGAAAAGGCAAGAGCATCGTTCACTAGCATGAAGCAAATTTTCACCTCTAAAAACCTCACCCTGCCTCTCAAAATTCGACTTCTAAAATGTTATGTATTCCCGGTTTTGTTATATGGAATGGAGGCGTGGACAATGACCGCAATATTGATGAAAAAAGTAGAGGCCTTTGAAATGTGGGCTTACCGACGTATATTACGTATATCCTGGACTGAGCACGTGACCAACGAAGAGGTACTACGCCGGATAGGTAAAGAGAGAGAGAGAGAAAGAGAGGGGTAGGAATAAGTATAAAGAAAAGAAATACTGGAATACTTGGGTCACGTTATGAGACATAATAAATATAGAGTACTACAGCTGGTCGTTCAAGGGAAAATAGACAGCGAAGGGGTCCAGGGAGGAGAAGACACTCGTGGCTCCAAAACTTGCGGCAATGGTTCGGAACGGACAAGGCTCATGAAGAAAAAGAAGACGTGTTGTGAGATTTTAATTGTCGTTGTTGACTTTCAATATAGCGATATTTCTGTGAGAGAAGAATAGTAGTCAAGATGAGCTTAGCAAAGAAACGCAAGTATAATTATGATTATATAAAATAAGGGTTTATTTGTATACTCAAAGATAATGTCAAACACCCTTAGTGTGTAATTTGCTATGAAGCATTAAGCAATGATGCAATGAGACCTAATTGTCTTGAACGACATTTGTCATCCAAACATAACTCTTTTAAGGACAAATTGAAGGAATTTTTGGCTGTAAAAATCTAAAAATTTAAAACGCATGAAGTTGGATAGTACTGGTTCTACTGTCAATCATCTAAAAAAGTGCATGAATGAGCTTCATATGAGCTGTCACCTCTTATTCCTAAATAAAAGAATAGTCATATTATTGGAGAGATGCTTATTAAACCATGTCTGTTAAAGGCAGCTGATATTATTTTTGGAACGTAGAGTACGCAAAAGTTATCTCAATTACCTCTTTCGGAGAATACTCGGAAACGTATCATTGATGGTATGGCGGAAGACATACAAAACCAGGTAGTTGATGCAGTAAAACAATCTCAATTTTTTTCTATTTAGCTAGACGGGAATACAGATATAGCACAATGTTCTCAGTTAATTGTTTATGTTTGGTATAATAAGAGTCAAAGACGAGCTACTTTTTTCTAGAGAGTTGGAGACCACGACAAAAGCTATTGATGTTATGAAAGCAGTGTCAAACTTTTTTGACAAACATGAACTCTCTTGGCAAAAACTGGTCAGTGTATATAAGGATAATAGCAATAACAATACAAATAACGGGCTACGTCAGGGAGACCCACTCTCCTGTATACTATTTAATCTAGCTGTGAAAAATGTAATACGTACGTTACAAATCACAACTACCGGTTCAGTATATCTGTGCAAATCCTAGCATATGCTGATATGCTAACCGAAAACGCAGCACGAGAGGCGTATGTAGCACTAAAGGAAGCGGCTACAAAAATGGGTTTAATAATAAACATTAATAAAAAGAAATACATGAAAATAGGTCAGCAACCACAAATACGACGGCCACTTGTTATAGAAAACGACGCCATCGAAGCAGTTAACGAATTTG